AGGGCCACTTAGCACTGAGCCACATCCCCAGCCCCTTTCCTATTTAGAGACAGCGCCTCCCTGAGTTGCTGAGGCCGGCTCTGAACTCGCGATCCTCCTGCCTCAACCTCCCAAGCCACTGGGATTACAGGTGTGGCCCCATGCCCAGCTGCCAGGTGAGTTTGCACTGGGGCTCAAGAGCCATCAGGGGTGAGCCCAGCACTTCTTGGCCCTCTGAGGTCCCCGGATCTGGCAGATGAGCAGAGCGGGGAGTCATGGAAAGCTCTAGACTGGGGACCTGTGCTGGGGAGATTGGTGCCAGGGCTTTGCTGTCCTGCTGTGACTTTCAGCTTAGCCAGGCCTCAGGGACTCTGATACCACAGTGGACCCCCTTTCTGGGATGGGTTATTGAGCTTGTGACTGCCAAAGGTCCAGACCTCGGCCTGCCACACCCTGCTGTGTGACCTGCGGGTGGCTCAGCACCTCTGTGCTGCCTTCCCTGAGGGGCGGTGGACTCGGCCTGGTGAGCACAGAGCATGGTGCTGTTTGGCTGCACGCTGGGTCGAGCCCGTGCCCATTCCACAGCGTGGAGACAGCCCGGGGTGGGGGGCAGGACCCGCAGGGGCATGCCTGCCTCCTCCCCGTCCTAGGTGGCAGGAATGGGACACCCAGAAGAGGCCCCAAGGCTTCAGCCGCCCGCCCCTCTCACCTTTTCTGGAGGCTGCGGCAGTCCCTCTGTACCCCTGGGCACCTGTGCTGGCTCCGTGGCCACTGTGGGGACAGAAGCTGTCAGGGAGGGTGTGGGACGCTGTTGGGATCAGCTGCCCTGGAGCCTGTTGCATAATTTCCCAGCACAGCCCGAAAGGTCAGGAGTGTCCCAGCCATCCGGCCAGGGACAGCAGGAGGTGACATCGAGGGTCCAGCCAGGCTCAGCCACTCACCCCTGCAGGGTCTCCCTGCCCCCTGCAGCGCACTGCCCTGGATTAGGACTCGGTGGGGTCCTCAGCTGGCCCCAGCCCAGCCCCGGGCCCACACAGCCCTGGCCGCCCCTGCCCCGCCCCTGGCAGCTGCCAGCCGTCTGTTGGCCAAGGTATGTGAGGCACAAGTCAGCTGCCCGGGGCCCCGGGCCCAGAGCGAGGCCCAGCCCTGGTGGCCGCCCCAGCCCTGGGTTCCCTCAGTAGCTGCTCTGCGTGTCCTGGGCCTGCCCGGAGTGTCCCAGCTGACTCTTGGGACAAGGAGACCCAGGCTGTGTGGCCCCAGGGAAGCTGCTGCCCTCTCTGGGAGCCAGGATCGCAGTCTTCCAGGAGCTCGGTTGGGCAGAGCCCCCGGCCTTTCCCACAGGACACCAGCAGCCGGGTGGGAGCCCAGAGCGTGGGGCCTGCGAGAGCGTGCTGTCCCCACGCCATCTGTGCCCCCACGGCCAGCTCGCTTCCCGTCCTCACGCCTGTCAGGCCGCCTGTGGGGTCTGGGACGCAGCTGTGCCTTTGGGGGCTCCCTCTGCCTGGGCCCACTCAGACCCCCACCCTACTACCGTCCACTCACCCTGGGCCTGAGGCTGGGTGGCCTCAGGGGCAGGGGCGCCTGTGGTGCTGGCTGCTGGCCGGCTCTGTCTGCCGGAGCCCTGGGCGCTGGCCACCAGGTTTCGGGCGGAACTGAAGCCAGGCAGGGACCCGAAGAAGCTGCTCAGGGTCTGCGGGGTGGGGCAGCGTGAGCTCGGCCGCCCAGGGACCCCCGGCCCCACCCCGCCTTTGCAACAGTGACCTTGGACGTCTGCGCAGCAGCGGGCAGACACAGCCTGCCCCGTGGACAGAAGGGACTTGGCCACTGGAATGCCAAGGCCACTGCTTGCTGCTGCCCTTGCACAGACGGGAAACTGAGGCCGGTGGGGCGGGGCTCACCTGGGTCACGCCATGGGGAAGGCATTGGAGGCTGTGACGCCCGCCCTCAGGCTTCTCCAGCCCTCCCGCCCCACCTTGGAGGCTGGAGTCCCCAGGCCAGGCAGGATGTGCCCCCCCTTACCTTGCCCTTGGACTTGGGGGGGTCCTGTCTCCCTTCCTCTGCAGCAGACATGGTGACGGTCTCCACAGCTAGAAAGGACAGAGAAGGAGCGGGAATGGGGTCCTCGTGGCCCTGCTGAGTGGTCCGGCAGCTCCTGCGCCCACCTGCAGCCTGGGTCTCTGCGCAGGAGGTGGCCGACCTAAGTGCGCGAGGCTCCCACAGGGTGACAGGCTGCAGCTGGCAGCTGCCTGAGCTCCCTGTTCCCAGGCCTTATAGGGTCTGGGGCGGGTGCTGCCGGGCCAGCAGAGGCAGGTGGCCAGTGGGACTGGGGGGGCAGTCACATGCCTGCCTGTGGGCCCGGCGTGGGCTCAGGGCCCAGCACCTTTCCCCTGCTCTCAACACAGGCTGGTGACTGTGCCGACGCCTCCGCCCGCACCAGGCCAAGCGCCTCAGGGGCCGCTGGGCTCCCCTCCCAGGCCCCAGGGAACCCCCTGCCTGCCCTCTGCCTCCATTTCCACCCACCAGATGGACACAGCTCAGGTCCTGCCCCCCGGGATGCCTTAGCTAGCTACCATCTTGGTGCCTCGGCTTCCCCCACCCCCAGCGCCCCACTGTGCCCGCAGGTGGCCTCCCTGCCTTGCCCTTCCCCCGCCTCGCTCCCCTGCTCCAGCCAACAGGCGCCTTGCCATGAACTGGGCACACCAGGTGTGGCCCTGCCCCAGGGCCCTTGCACAGCTGTGCCCTCTGCTGGCGCACCTTCCCCAGACACCCACTCGGCTGCCTCCATCCCTCCCCTCTGCCAGGCCTGTTTTGTCTCCCATCGAGTGCCAGCACCTAGAACAGTGTCTGGCACACGTTTGACACTTGGGAAACTTTGAGGCCCATCAGGCTGGTGCTGAGCAGGAAGCAAGGTCACACCTGTGACCTCTCCGCCCCAGTGCTGGCACCCCACGAGCACTCGCTTAGCAAGAGCAGGGGTGTCCTGACAAGGGAAGGGACTGTCTCTTTCTAGAAAGGACTTGGGTTAAAATACAGACCAAGATGGAGCAGAGCAGAGCTGGAGGTGCCCTAGGAGCTGGCTGGGCCTCCGGGAGCCTCCCAGGAGGAGGTGTCGTGGGCCTGAGGCCACAGGGCCAGGAAGTGACAGAGAGGATTTGGACAGTCTCGGGTCCCACGCCAAGTGGGCTACGGGTGGACCAAGGGGGCCAGCAAAGCAGAGCGCTAACACTCGCCCTCCCTGGCTGTCCCCTGCGCACTGCTGGGACCCCTCCAGAACGGGATCCCAGCCCCAGCGCGTCCAATCTGCTCCGGCCCGAGCTGGGAGGAGGCAGGGTCTGGCCTCTTGGCCTGGTGACCCCAGGCCGTCTCCTTGGAATCAGCAAAAACAGTCGGGACACAGAGGGGTGCCCCACGCCCTCCCTCCTCGGGAGGCTTGTGCTTCCAAGGGTGGCAGGAGGGCCCCAGACGTGCCCTTCCCTTTCCCAGAGGCAGCCTCCGCCAAGTGGGCAAGAGAAAGCCAGTAAAAACCATGATGGACACCCCTGTGAAGTCCCCCTCCTCTGCCCGCAGCCCGAGGTCCTGCCCAGAGTACCGGTCCCTGCCTGGCTCCTCTCCCCACCCTCCTCCATGGGGCTCCCTGCTGCTCCTCCAATCAGGCTTGGTCTAGTCCCAGGGCCTCTGCACAGGCTCTGGCTCCACCCAGGCCACCTCTCCCCAACCCCTTACCTCCATGCCACCTCCGCAGAGCAGCCTCCCTAAGCTTCCCCAACTTAAAATATTCACCCTTTTGTACCGCCCCCCACCCCTCCCCTTTCATTTTTCCCATCTATTAACACTAAAATCCCTTGTTTTCCTCCTCATTATCTGTCTCCCAGAGGACATAATACTGTGTCCCCAGGGCAGAGAAGTGCCTGCACACAGCAGGCACTCAATAAGTGCTTGTTGAAGGAACCAGCAAGCGAGTGCATGGCAGTGTCCACACTGGGTCTTTACTGGGGTGGGTACAGCTGCCACCCCTTCGCTCCCAGCTCCCAGAGAGGAGGCTCAGGGGCATCCCTTGCCCTTGTAGCTGGCGGCAAGTTGGGACCCAACCCCAGTGGCAGGGTAGCCTTGACCACTCTCTCCCCTCTCCGCCCACCCACTCAAAAGTGAGTCCCCGTCACGCCTCTGCCAGGCCTGGTCCCGGTACCAGAATGCCCTTCCCTGAAACCCCTGGGCACCCCTCACCAGGCCTGGCCCTGCAGCCTGGCAGCCTGGTGTGGGAGGGGCTGTGGCCCATGGCGGGGCAGGAGTCCTGGCCTCTCCTAGCTGTGTGGGGGTGGAGGAGGGCCTGCCAGTGGCCACAAGGCTTCCTGGAAGAGGCACAGCTGGGGCTGGAGGGTGGGCGACACATGTCCTAGAGTCAGGCAGGAGGGTGGCAGGGCACCCGGGAGGTGGGCACAGACCAGTGTCAGAGGGAGCATGGAGATTCCAGAGCAGAGGCCGGAGGCTAACTGGCTGGCGGGAGGGGGCCGGGCTCCCAGAGCCATCCTCGGGACGGGCACCAAGGAAGCCAGGGGGCAGCCTGACCTCACCCAGCCACATGGTGGTTTCCCAACACCCTTCCAGCCACAGGGGAATCAGAGGGGCAGCCAAGAATGGGGTCAGGAGATGGGAGGGCCCCCAAGATTGGCTGTGGCCTGGCCCTGCCTGTCTCCCCCACCCACCAGTGCAGCAGGGGACACAACCATGCCAGCCCAGCAGGTCGGGAGCGGAAGAGGGGCTCCTCATCTGCTTCCTTTTCTTAGGTCTTTCTCCCTGCGGTCTCCAAGAAATTCATTTATACTAAGGTGAGAAGGGCTTCCCCCAGGCGGTGGGCCAAGGGCCCAGCTGGCTCAGGCAGCAGGCTCCACACACAGGGAGGTACCACTCCTCTGTGGCCCCCAATGCTGACTTGAGGCCACCCTCCTCGTGTCCTGCAGTCCCATTCTGAGGCCCCGTACCCTGGTTCTGAGGCCCATCCACCAGGTACAGAGGCCCTGGACCCTTGGACAACGCGAAGCGTCTTTATTCTGGAGAGCAAACGACAAAGCACCTGGCTCTGGTGGGCTGAGCAGGCCCAGCTGGCATCTCTGGAGACCCCTCAGTGTGGGATGACCAGTCTGGAGGACAGAGGCTCCCTTCCAAAGCCTTGAGGACACCACTGGGCAGAACGTGTCCTTCCCAGGGGATTCTGAGCAGCCCTGGGGGCTGGGGCAGGACAGGGCGGTAAAGAGCTGAGGATGGCCTGAGAGGCTTTGCGGCCACGCCCCTGCCTAGGCCGAGATCCCCAATGTCCAGGAAAAGTGGGAGGGCCGGACCTGAAGGAAGGTGCCTGTCAAAGGTCCCAGCCACGCCCAGGCCGGGCCAGGCCGTTGGCGCGAGCGCTGGCCACCAGGGGGCAGCAGAGGCCGGCCCCGCCCTGGGCTAGAAGTCCAGCTCCGGCATCAGCGTGTGCTTGACCTGGCGCCGGGGGGCCTCGGGCTCCTCCACGCTGGCGCCCCCGGGGAGGCCCGTCCCGTCGCCGTGCTCGGCCTGCCAGGCCCTCTGCTGGGCTGGCCAGTCCATGTGCGCCCAGCGCGGGTCGGGGTCGCCCACCACCTCGTCCACCCAGTCCTCCAGGCCAAGCAGGGGCTCGGACCGCTCCATGAGGATGGGCGCGAAGGGCCCCACGAGCCAGGGCAGCGGCACGGTCTGCACCACCAGCTCCAGCAGCTCGTCCACGCAGGCGTGAGCCCTGGCCACGCGGCCCCGACCCTCGGCCAGCGCGGCCGCTGGCACGTCCCCAAAGGAGCGGGCGTCGGCGAAGGCGGCCTGCAGGGCGTCCACGCTGCGCCGCACCTCCGCCACCTTCGCCTGGGCGCCGGCGGGCAGGCCCCGCACGCTGGCCTCGAGCGCCTCCACCGTGCTCCGGAGCTCCAGGGTCAGGCTGCGCGACAGCACCAGGGTCTCCAGCTCCGCCTGCGGAGGGCGGGACCTCAGGGGCTGGCCACGCCCCGGGTGGGGTCCCTCTGGCCCTCAGTGGACCTGGAGTGGGGCTGGGGACTTCAGTCTCTGCCGTGCAGACACAGGGCTACTGAAACCCCACTCGGCCTCAGTTTCTCTTTGGGACACACAGTAGGGCCGCTGCCCTGACTGGGCTCTCCCCAGGATCCCCCAACCAGCTGACCTCAACCTTGGTTTAGGCAGGTCAAGACTGGCTCTGGCCGCCCAGAAACCCACGTTCCCTGCAGCCTCACCTGCCCCCCTCCCCCCTCCTCACCTGGCTGCGCCTGCGTCCATTCTCCAGGGGACGCTGGTCCTTCCCAGGCTGGGCTGCAGGGGAGGGGCCGGCCCCGCTCTGCGATCGGTGGATCTGCAGGGATGGAGGCCGGGACTGAAGGATCTGGGTTGGGGGCTTGAGGACCAGCTCCAGCGCCTCAGTGAGCACTTAGTGAGCACCATCTGGATGCCACCTTCCAGGTCTGAGGATCTGGCAGGCCAGCCTGCCCGCCCCCACCTCACTGCCCCTAGGACCCACCCTCCCTGCAGCTCCACAGCTGGCCCGTGCTCCCCTCCCGTGCTCCTGCCTGGCCACCCCCAGTCTCCATCTAGAAGACACCCTCCCCAGGACTCCGCTCCTGCTGTGGGGCTGGCAGACCCCTGGGGTTCCAAGCACACATCATGGCCTGAGGCCGGGCACTAGGCTTTCAGCGTCAGGGACAGGGCCTGCCCAGAGGGCTGCTGGGGACCGACGTCCCACCGAGGTGCAGCCGCACACCTGGGCAGGGGCAGGACAGCACCCGGCAGAGCGGGGCCTGGGTCCACCCCAGCACTGGCAAGGAAAGTAGGTGGAAGCAAACACGGTCCCAGTGCCACTGGAAGTCACAGGCCTTTTTTCCCCCCGCAGGACGGAGATGGGGGGGGGTTGAACCTGGGGCACTTGACCACTGAGCCACGTCCCCAGCCCTTTTTAGTTTTTAATTAGAGACAAGGCCTCCATGAGAGGCTTTGACCTCTCAGCCTCTTGAGCCGCTGGGATGACAGGCGTGGTCACCGCGCCCAGCTCAAGCAGCCCATCAAAGAAGGAAATCCCACACCTGTCCACACCCTGAGGACGCTGTGCTGAGGGAAAGGGCCAGACACGGGGGGCCACCCACGTAGCCAAGCAGTAGAGCTCTGGCCTAGCAAGTGGGAGGCCCTGGGTTCAATCCTCAGCACCACATATAAATAAATAAATAAAAAGAAAGGTATTGTGTCCGACAACTAAAAAATAAATATTTAAAGAAAAAGAAAAAAATTGATTTGGGACAGGAGTGAAGCGCGGGCCTTCAGAGCCACAGACAGGACGCAGCCTGTGGACAACGGCAGGGAGGGTGCTTCATGGGGACAGAGCGCAGCCCTGGGCACGGGCTTCCGGCTGCCGAGCTGCTGTTCGGTGGGGTTAAAGGGGCGAGTCTCCTTGCATGCTCTGGAGCCACAGCGGGCAGCACGGCCACGGGCAGGGCCGCTTCCCACGGTGGGCAAGCTGTGCGGGTGGCGGCACGCGGCCCACGGCTGACTTGCAGTAAGCCTCAACTCTGTGCTGCTGCCAGGGGTGGGCCAGCCAGTGTTGCAGCCAGGCCCGGCCCACAGCTGGTGCGCAGGAAACACCACTGAGCGGCTGAGCGGGCAGGTCCCTGTCCTCACAAGCTCTCAGTCTGGAGGGGAGATGTCAAAAGCCAGTAAGTGAAGAGGCAGGTCACATGGTTTTCCAGAAGCAAGGTGTGACCAGGCAGGAACTGAGGTGCCCCAGGCAGAGGGCGCAGCTTGTGCAAAGGCCCTGTGGGCTGGAGCAGAGGGAGGCGGGGAGGAGAGGAGGCAGGAGGGAACCGGACCGCACCAGGCTTCGTGGGCCAGCCAGCGGGAGGACTTGGACGCGGATCCCAAAGGAGGTGGGAGCTATGGAGGGCTGGGGGCCGGGAGGGAGGGACCTGACCCGGTGCTCACAGGTGCCCTCTGGGGCTCACTGTGGGGAGGACAGTGAGTGAGGGGAGGGGCTCGGGAGCCAGGCGGGTCCAGATGGAGCTGGAGCCTGGGAAGGTGGGGGACAGAAGCCAGTGGCCCGGTGAGCCAGCCCTGGACAGTCTGGCTGAGGTGTGGGACCCCGGAGGGGAAGAGGGGGCCTGGGGTCCTCCCCGGTGGGGTCCTGAGCCCCTGAGGTGGAGGCGCAGGCGTCTCTAGGGAGGGGAGGAGGAGGCTGTGTGGACACAAGGGCCGGGCGGGGAGGGCAGGCCCTTCCTCCCGAGCTGCCCTGGGAAGTCCAGCCCAGCGCCCATCCTGGGGCCTCCGCAGCCCGCCCTGGGGCCCAGCCACCAGCCTCTGGGATTCGCCCGGCTCAGCCCATGCCCGCTGGGGGCACCAGGGACGGGAGAGGGGAAGGGCGCTCACCAGCTCCAGGGCCTCCTGCAGCTGGCCCAGGGCGTCCTGGGCCCGGAGTCGGCTCTGCCTCAGTTTCCCCAGGGAGTGCTCGTAGGCCAGGTGGCGGATCTTCGCCGACAGGGAGCCCAGACGCACGAAGTAGCCCTGCTGCCTCCTCTGGTCCTCCACGGAGCCCACCTCTGGGCTCTGGGCCTCAGCTGCCAGCGCCGCTAGAAGACAGGACAGGGACAGGGGTCAGCATCTCTCTCCTGTCAGCCCACGCCACAGAGGGGCCCTGAGGCGGGAGGCAGGAGGCAGACTGTCACCCCCAGGCGCTGCCTCTCCAGGGGCCAGGCCTCGGCCTCTCTTCCCAGGGGCGCGGCCCGCGTGCTCTGCTGTGCTCCAGAGAGGACTGGAGAAGGGTCGTCTCCAGGTCGACGACCCCAGACAAGACAGGAAGCTCGGGGACAGTGGGGCCGGGGACCCTGTCCACAGGACGAGTGCTCGAGCCTGTGCCTGCTTCTCCAGGAGCAGCCAGAGGCCAGGAGCGGCGCGCCCCTCTGCTGGCTGGGTGTCGGAGGGAGGACACGGCCACGGAGACCGGTTCCGAGGCTCGAGACCCCGTCCGCAGGCCTGTAGCCCGAGATGCCCTGCTGGGGTCTGGGTGTCCTGCAGAAGGACAGGCCGAGGGTCCACTGGAGGGGGCTGGGAGGGCAGGCCTGGGTTCGAGTTTCCTGCTGCCCCACTGTGTGTCCTCGGGCCAGTCCCGGACCTCTCTGATCTGGACACTGCGGAGAGGCTCGCTGGGCAGGAAGGTCGGGGCCGGGGTGGGGAGGGTGCTGGCCTCACCCAGCTCCTCCTCCGACATGGGCAGGAAGTGGTCCACCAGCTCCTCGGACTTGTCCAGCACAGTGTCCAGGGCGTGGCTCACAGAGCGCTTCAGCTCCACACTCCAGCGGCGGCTCCGCCAGGCCAGGTCCACCACGCCTGTGACACTACGAGCCACCGCGTCCTTGGCCGAGGTCACCACCTGGTGGGAGGGGCCCACTGCAGGTGCTGCCCGTTTCTGGTCCTGTCCCCTGCCCAATTCCCTCAGCTGGGACTCAGAGGCCTCAGACTCCTGACCCCGGGCCTCGATTTCCCTCTATAAAATGGCCCCCGGGGTCGGTGGGCGGTCACCAGCGCCCACGGGGGGCGTGTGAGTTGGTGCTGATCACTATTTCATCTGGCTGGTCTTGGGGAGCTGGGGCTGACCTCGGGGGCACTCACAGAGGGTGTTTTATTTAGAGACAGGTCTCACTGAGCTGCTCAGGGCCTCACTACATTACTGAGGCTGGCTCCATCCTCCTGCCTCAGCCTCCGGAGCCGCTGGCTGACAGGCCTGCACCTGCGGGCTTTTCTGTTGGGGCCTGTTTTTGCCTGGAGGGAGCAGGAGTTGACTGTGCTCCCGGGCGGCACCCGCCTCCTCCCACTCTGCTCTGGCCCAGCCCACGCAGCCCCGGGCCCTGTGGTCTGGGTACCGCGTCTGAAGGCTGCTGGAGAAGGGGCAGCTTCTCCTCCACTTTGTCCAGGCCCCTGCAGGCGAGGTCATTCACTGTGGCCACTGAGGGGAGGGGTGAGGAGAGAGGG